AACATAGAGAGACCCTATCTCTACAACAAATAAAAAAATTAGCCGAATGTGATGGCTTGCACCTGTAAGTCCCAGCAGTTAGGGGGGTGAGGTGGGAGGATCACTTGAGCCCAGGAGTTTGAGGCTGGAGTGAGCCCAAATTTTGCCACTGCACTCCAGCCTATTCCAAAAAGAAAAAAAGAAGATTGCTATCAGCATCATTGGCAGACACTCCACCAGTCTTGGGGATGTGGAAGAGCAAATACTGAACTCCCTGTTAACTCCCAGTAAGGACAACACTATAGTTCCTTTTAAAAAATATTATTTTAGGCTGGCACAAAGTGCCACAAGCGGGGTGGCTTAAAACAACAGCCTCAGCCGGGTACGGTGGCTCACGCCTGTAATCCCAGCATTTTGGGAGGCCGAAGCAGGCAGATCACAAGGTCAGAAGATGGAGACCATACTGGCTGACGCAGTGAAACCCCGTCTCTACTAAAATACAAAAAATTAGCTGGGTGTGGTGGCGGGCGCCTGTAGACTCAGCTACTCAGGAGGCTGAGGCAGGAGAATGGCATGAACCCGGGAGGCGGAGCTTGCAGTGAGCGGAGATCGCACCATGGCACTCCAACCTGGGCGACAGAGCGAGACTCCGTCTCAAAAAAAAAAAAAAAAAAATATTTTAATATATTTTTTGAGACAGAGTCTCACTCTGCTGCCCAGTCTGGAGTGCAGTAACACAATTTAGGCTCACTGCAGCCTCAACTTCCCAGACCCAAGCGATCCTCCCACTTCATCCTCCTGAGTAGCTGCAACTACAGGCATGCACCACCACAGCAGGCTAATTTTTGTATTTTTTGTAGAGATGGGGTTTTGCCATGTTGCCCAGGCTGGTCTCGAACTCCTGGGCTCAAGTGATCCTCCCACTTCAGCCTCCCAAAGTGCTGGGATTACAGGAGTGAGCCATGCACCCGACCATATTTCCTTTAATAGTGGGCTGTGGGCTTGGAGAAAATGGGCACTGTGTTACACGCATGATATGGAAGGTACAGTTTACCAAGGACACTCAGCAGAGCAAACCAGGAGCTATCCCTAGGGTGACTGGGTTGGGATACAGGGAACACAACTTCTTGGCCTCACATTCCTCATAGGAGCCAGCTTGGTTTGAGGCACTAGAATTCCACCGGTCTGGGGTAAGAGCCGGATCTCAAGATCTCAAGAACCCCCGGTGAGCACTGAGCAAGCCATTGATCCCCCACTCTGAGCTAGGACTTTGGGTTTTCTCCCATGGCGGGGAGTATGCTCTGTGTGTGTGGAGAAAAGAGAAATGAATGCTGGTGACGAGAAGGGCAGACTGAGGAAGCTCTCAGGACTTCCCAGAGTTCCTATTCTCCTCCTTCTGGGCATGCGGAAATACCTCCTTGCTCTTTGAAGTTAGGTGGGGCCTAGGACTTACTCTGAACCATGAAACAGTAGCGGAAGTTATGTTTATCATTTCCTGGTGGAAGCTTGCGCATGACCCACCACATCCCCTTCCTTCTTCTAGAAGGAAGCAAGTGTTGCTATGGAGGTTCCATCAGCCTGGCTCCATCAACCACAAGGAGCAGATCCCCAATACCCCCCCCAACCCAGAAACCTGCTTTAGACATGAAAGTGACTCATAAATCTTCATTGTTTTAAGCTACTGAAGCTTTGGTGCTGTACGTTATTACAGCCTAACCTTGCCTATCCTGACTGGCACACCCAGAGTAAATGGCATAGTTATGAAAGATTCCTTTTTTTAGAATCCTTTGTCTAATCTTTTGTCTATACATGAGTTCCCATTACAATGTCTTACTATGACATCAGTGAGTGTCATGTTGCTAAATTGTCTGCATGTTATATGATAGTAACAACACATCCCACATGTATGATCAGTTGCAATTATGTAACAATGTTGACAAAGCCAATCACTTCAAGCCTCAAAAAGGGCTGAACACCATAGTTAGGACATGGAGAGATGGAAAAAGTGTCATTTACAATGACCAAAAAAAAAAGAAAAAGAAAAAACCATAAAGCATCATAGACTAAATTATTTTTAATGTGCAAAACATAGAAAGAAAACTACAAAGCCCACCTGAAAAGACACCATCAACAGAGCTTAGTAAATACCAGGAACCACACACACACACACACACACACACACACACACACACACCTTCCCCAAGGTCACGTGGCTGGTAAGTGGTAGGAGGAGGATTTGAATACAGTCAGCTTCCTTAACCACCACCAAGAATAGGATGGGTGAGCTTTTTCTACAGTGGACCAGACAGAAAACATTTGAGGTTTCTGGGTCATCTGGATTCTGTTGCAACTACTCAAATCTAGCTCAAAAGCAGCCAATGGACAATATATAAACAAATGGCTGTGGCTGTGCTTCAACAAAACTTTATTTACAAAAGCAGACAGTCACCTGGATTTGGACCATGGGCCCATAGTTTGTTGACACATGATCTAGAATAACAAATCCTTGAAGACAGTCAAGGCTTTTGGGGGAAAAACTAATAATAAGCAGAGACTTGCTCTATCAGATATCAGCACGTAAAATAAAACTACAAAAATTATTTGGAATTGCATTATATTTATATATTAATTTAGGGTGACTATGTAATTTATATAATTTAGTTTACAGAGAATATTAATTTATGATTTTGAGTCTTCTTATTCAGGAATATGGTATTTCTCTACTGTTACTCAGATCTTAAGAAACAATTTAACAGGGTGGGGGGTGGGAAGGAGCTCCAGGCCAATTTTTAGCAGAAATTCTACCTAACACCAGACAGGTAAACAGAATGTCAGAGAACCAAAACCACTTACACCCTGAGATATGTGTCAATTGCATCCATCCAGACTTCAGTCCAGTTCTGTGAGAGACAAGAGGGACAAGAGGGACAACGGCAGGGTCCACCTAAGATGGGGTGTTTTATAGGAGACGTTTCCCATGTTAAGCTGGAACACCAAAAGGCTTCACCTTCTGAGATATATGGATAGATTTAAACCCTTCCCCCGCCCCCAAGGGGACTAGGCTGCTGTGGGCCTCAGCAGAGCAGAAGGGTAAAGAAAGACAGCCCTGAGAATCATATCCAAAAACCAGCCCTGGCCAAGCGCAGGGGCTCACACCTATCATCCCAGCACTTTGGGAGGCCGAGGCGGGTGGATCACCTGAGGTCAGGAGTTCAAGACCAGCTTGGCCAACATGGTGAAACCCCGTCTCTACTAAAAATACAAAAAAATAGCCAGGCGTGATAGCGGGTGCCTGTAATCCCAGCTACTTGGGAGGCTGAAGCAAGAGAATAGCTTGAACCCAGGAGGCGGAGGTTGCAGTGAACTGAGATTGTGCCATTGCACTCCAGCCTGGGCAACAAGTGTGAAATTCCATCTCAAACAACAACAACAACAGCAACAACAAAAAACAAAAACCAGCCCTTATACCAATATATACTGAGTGCATGCAGCCTGGCTCAGACAATGAGGCCATGACTTCGATTGAGGAGGTCCTTGACCATGGTGTCTCCTGGTGCCTGGCAAAGCCTCTCTCAGTCAGGCACATGTAGCCTAGGCTTTGGAAAATCCTCACAAATAATTTTTCAAGGACAATAAACCACAAGCAGTCAAAGACAACCAGTACACAAAGGAACAGCACACATCGGTGAAAATCTGCAAAAATAGACCCATACAGGCTTCAGATACCGGGGATACCAGACGCAGGTTTTAAAACAACTCAGAGCTGAAAACACCTGTAGGGAATAAGACACTCTACAAAGTAATGTAGCAGCTTTGGAAAAACAACCAAAATATCTAGAAATGCAAAATATAAAAATGAGAAATCCAGGTGCAGCGACTCACACCTATAATCCCAACACTTTGGGATGCTGAGGTGGGCAGATTGCTTGAGCCCCAGAGTTCAAGACCAGCCTGGGTAACATGGTCAAATCCCTTCTCTACTAAAAATACAAAAAGTTAGCTGGGCATGGTGGCATGTGCCTGTACTCCCAGCTACTCAGGAGGCTGAGGTGTGAGGATCACCTGCACCCCGAAAGTCAAGGCTGCAGTGAGTTGTGATCATGCCACTGCACTCCAGCCTGGGTAATGGGAGTGAGCCCCTGTCTCAAAAAAAAAAAAAAAAAGAAAAGAAAATTAAAGACCAGTGGGACCCCATCTCTACAAAAAAAAAAAATTAGCCAGGTGTGGTGGTGCTCACCTACAGTCCCAGCTACTCAGGAGGCTAAGGTGGGAGGATCCCTTGAGCCCAGGAGGTCGAGGCTGCAGTGGGTTGGGATTGTGCCACTCACTCCAGCCTGGATGACAAAGTAAGACCCTGTCTCAAAAACAAACAACAATAACAACAAAACGCAACCAATAGGCATATTTGGTAACAGCCAGCTCATTGCAGAAAAGAGAAATAGTAAACTAGAGTACAGAAGAAATTATCCAGAGTATAGCACACAGAGGAAAAAAACACAGGAGAGAGACAGATGCTATAAGGATGCAGTGAGTACGTCCAGCATTGGTGTCCCAAAAACAGAGGAGAGGCCGGGTGCGGGGGCTCATGCATGTAATCCCAGCACTTTGGGAGGCTAAGGCGGGCAGATCATGAGGTCAGGAGTTCGAGACCATCCTGGCCAACATGGTGAAACCCCCGTCTCTACTAAAAATATAAAAATTAGCCAGGTGTGGTGGTACACGCCTGTAATCCCAGCTACTCAGGAGGCTGAGGCAGGAGAATTGCTTGAACCAGGAGGCGGAGGTTGCAGTGAGCCGAGATCGCGCCACAGCACTCCAGTCTGGCAACAGAGTGAGACTCTGTTTCAAAAAAACAAACAAACAAAAACAAATACGTACAGTTAAAAGACGTAAGTCACAACATATATCCATGAATAATTTTAGATGGCAGCATTCCCCAAAGCCATCCACCCCTCCCAAGCAGTGCACAATAGCCTCTTCCTGATGACTTAGGCTGCCCATTGTGACCACAGGTGACTGTGGCTTGACATCACAGTGTATCCCTGAGTCAAGCAGCTGTGGTTTTTCAGCTCTTGCATCTGCTGTGTATAGATCTGTCTCAGGTGCCATTTGCTAACTCTGTTCTCTGTGTAGCTGCTTTTGACAGCTCCTCATCTCTCTTCTAATCCACCACTCATGGTCCTAGAGAACAGAGACCACAAGTTAAGACCTTCACCTACAGAATCCCAAGGGCCAACAGCGGGCAGAGGACAACTCCATCCTTCTTTCAAAAGGGCTTCTCCACAAAAAGCGTTTCTGTTAGACTCTGAGCAGTGAGATACCCTGCTTCAAGAAGAATTTCTCATGGAGCCAGAAGCCTTTGAAATTTGCCCTTACGATCCTCACCACCGAGTCCCATTCAGCAGATTCCAGTACCACCTGGCATCATGCAGGAGAAAGAACCCCAAGAAAGCCAAAAAGATGGCCATCTGCAAATACAACGCCCGCCACGTGGTCCCCATCAAAAAGCTGGAGGAACATGAGGCTGTTTGTGTCAACAGGAGCTCTGTGGAGGAAGAGGACACCGAGAACCCTCTGAAAGTTAGTCTTCCAAGTTCAGAGCAGAACGATGACCCCCAGCAGGTCTCACCCTGCCTTCCCAGTCCTGATATCTGGAATGTCGATGGCGCTAATTGCCAGCATATGTTTGTCCTTAAGACTTTTGTTCCCCAAAAGCTTGTTTGTGAAAATGACACAAAAGAGTCAGCGAGAGAGATCAGTCCCCAGAAGATCCTCAGACCAGGACAGTAAACGGCCAGCTGAGGAAAGAGCACACGTCTCGTAAATGCATGGAAGAACATGCAATGCATCAGAATAAAAGGCATACAAAGCAAAACTACCCTGGGCTACCTCTTTTTTTACCTGGCAGATTGGTAACTATCAAAAGGCTTAAAATACTCCGCTGGCAAAGGTAGGACAAAAGGAGCACTTTCATAACACTGGTGAGAGCGTCAGTTGGTACAACCTCCACGGAGGGCTATTTGACAATAGCCATAAATACTATCAATACACATAGCCTTTCATCGAGCAATTCCACTTCCAGGCTTTATTCTATAAATATAATCACACATGTGGAAAATGAGCTAAGTACCAGCCTATTCACTGCAGCATTATTTGCAGCAGCAAAAAAGTTAGAAATGAGCCAGGTGTGTTGAATCACAGCTGCAGCCTGTTACTCTGGGGGCTGAGGTGAGAGGATCGCTTGAGTTCAGCCTGGGCAACATAGTGAGATCCTGTCTTAAACAACAAAAAGTCAAGTGACCTAAATATCCATTAAAAGGTCCTGATTAAAAATAAGTTATACTGCAGCCATAAAATAAAATAGTAAGACGCCTTGAAAAAAAGTGAGGAAGCTCTTTCTGTGTTGATATGGAAAGGTTGGGACACACTGTTGAGCTCAGAGGTCAGCAAACTTTTTCTGTAAAAGGCCAGATAGTAAATAGTTTAGCCTCTGCCAGCCATGCGGTGTGTGTTGCAACTACTCAGCCCTGCCACTGCAACACGAGAGCAGCCACATATAACATGTAAACAAATGAACAGAGGTTCCATTAAAATGACTTACAGCCACAGGTGCCAGGCTGGACTTGACTGGTGGGCCATGGTTTGCCAACCTCTAGTTTAACTGATAGAAACCAAGTCCAGGCCGGGCCCGGTGGCTCATGCCTGTAATCCCAGCACTTTGGGAGGCGAACGCGGGGGAATCACCTGAGGTGAGAAGTTCGAGGCCAGCCTGGCCAATACAGCAAAACCCATTTCTACTAAAAATACAAAACTTAGCCGGGCATGCAGCAGGGCCCTGTAATCCCAGATACTCGGGAGGCTGAGGTAGGAGAATAGCTTGACCCAGGAGACGGAGGCTGCAGTTAGCCGAGATCACACCATTGCAATCCAGCCTGGGTGACAGAGCGAGACTTCATCTCAAAAAAAAAGAAAAAAGAAAGAAAAGAAACAAGTCCAGAACAGTCTATACAGTACGCCACCATTTGGGGAGAGTTGTGGGAGAAGACATGAATATGTATGTGCTTGTTTTCGCATAATATTTCTCTTTAAGGATACTCTAGAATGGAGATCTGCCCACAAAGCCTGAAATGTTTTTTAAACCTGTTGCCTAATGGAAATACTTGCTTGCCTCTTCACTAGACACTAATATTGGCTGCCTCCAGGGAAGACAACGGGGTGAATGTGGGGCAGGGAAGAGAGAGCCCTTCTTTACTATCGACTCTTTAGTATCTTTTACATGGGAATACATGTGAATATGTTAACTGGTCAAAAATTATATACTTTTTTAAACAGCAGATAGAAGACTTAAGCCTTTTGAAAGTGTTTCAGGAGGAAATCTTAACTGTTAAGTTTTGGTCTTTTGTTTGTTGAGACAGAGTCCTCGCTCTGGCTGGGAGAGTCCTCGCCCAGGCTGGTGTGCAGTGGCACAATCACAGCTCACTGTAGCCTCAACCTCTTAGGCTCAAGCAATCCTCTCATCGAAGCCTACCAAGTAGCTGGGACCACAGGTGTGCAACACCGTACCTGGCAAATTTTTCTATTTTTTGTAGAGATAGGGTCTCACTATGTTGCCTAGGCTCACTGCTGGTTTTTTTTTTTAAGTAATCATAACTTTGCCACCTGGCTGGCCAACTTCAAATGCTTACACGAGGTAAGTATTAAAGACTTCTTGGGGGGAAAAAGTTCTGGATGACAGTGATTAATGAAGTGCATGAACTAGAGAACTGAAATAGGAGGAAAAAGTAATGTGGAGAATATATGTCTATAAACCAAAGGCCAATAGGACCGGGAAAACTTACTCTTCCTGAAACTCCCTGAATTGGGCCATGAGGGAGTGAGCCTGGTGGAAGCGCTACCCACAGGGGCTCTGTCAAGACACAGCAAGACAGAGCTGACATCTGTCACTATGTAGTGGCAGCCTGGAGCATTCTGAAGGTAACCTCCAAGCTCCCAAAGGACAGCTGGCCAACAGGCAGTGGGGAAAGGCAGCCCCACGGACCCTGGGCAACAGGCAAGATTTGCAGGTTCATGTTGAGGGTTCCTGGCAAAGAGAGTGCCGTGGAAAAGCTATGTGTTGGGGCAGAGGGTGCTCTCACTGGCTGAGGAAGAGCAAAGAGGAGCTGTATTCAGGTTAAGTGCCTTGCTGAAATAATTTCATTAAGTCCAGGCCACAACACTGAGGGGCAAGTATTTTTATTTCCAATATACAGATACGAAAAGTGAGTTTCAGAAAAGGTAAATAATGGCCGGGTGTGGTGGCTCACACCTGTAATTCCAGCACTTGAAGAGGCCAAAGCGGGCAGATCACCTAAGGTTAGGAGTTTGAGGCCAGCCTGGCCAACATGGCGAAACTCCATCTCTACTAAAAATACAAAGAAATTAGCTGGGCATGGTGGTGCACGCCTGTAATCCCAGCTACTCGGGAGGCTGAGGCAAGAGAATCACCTGAACTCGGGAGGCGGAGGTTGCAGTGAGCCGAGATCGCACCACTGCACCCCAGCCTGGGCGACAGAGCAGAACTCTGTCTCAAAAAAAAAAAAAAAAAAACCCTAAATAATGTGCCTTGATTCACAAATAATGTGAATCCATTCCCAGCAATTCCACTCCTAGATATGTACAAACCCGATGTGCAAGAGAGTTCACCAAAACATGAGGATGAGATGTGCATAACAGTGCTAATTTTTTTTTAATTTAAAAGTAAACTTTAATGTCAAAAATGCAAACTTGGAGAGGGCAGAGAGATTACACGCAAGGCTACCACTTCACACTTCGAGGGTTGCACAGCAGCCAGGTAAAGGTGCTCCTCACTTCCCAGACGGTGCGGCGGCCAGGGAGAGGCGCTTCTTACTTCCCAGACTGTGGGCTGGCTGGGCAGAGGTGCTAACAGCGCTATGTGTAATAGCCAGTCTGGAAGCAATCCACACTTCCTTTGAGATAATGGGTAAATTGTGGAAGTCACACAATGAAAAACTAAACAATATTGTATACTTCAAAATTAAGAAGAGTGAACTTTAAATGGTCTCACCACAAAAAAATTAAGTCTGGGAGGTGATGGATATGTTAATTAGCTTGGTTTAATCATTCTACTAGGTATATATAATCAAAACATCACATCATACCCCATAAACATACACAAGTATTTGTCAATTAAATTAAAATTGGCCAGGTGTGGTGGTTCATGCCTCTAATTCATCCCAGCCCCACTCTGGGAGGCTGAGGCAGGAGGATCATTTGAGCCCATGAGTTCAAGACCAGCCTGGGCAACACAGTGAGACCATGTCTGTAGAGAAACATTTAAAAAAATTAGCCAAGCGTGGTGGTGCACCTGCAGTCTCAGTTATTAGGGACACCCGAGGTTAAGGAAGATCACTTGAGCCCAGGATTTCAAGGCTAGAATAAGACCGCGTATAAAATATAAAAAATAAAATATATAAAATATAAAATAAAACAAAATGGTCATGAGAATGAATAAATCATAACTACCCAGATCTACTTGGATAAATCTCACACAATGTGAAATTCTGTTGACATAATATTTAATGAAAATAAAAAGGCAAAGCAAATCTGGTGTTTGATGTCAGGATGGCGGTTACCCTTCGCAGGTAGAGAGGGGGTTTCCAGTGCTGCTCTTATTCTGTTGTTTGATCTGGATGCTGGTTATGCGAGTCTGTCCACTTTGTGAAAACATATCCACAGCCACTTGGATTCATGCACTCTTCTGTATGAATATTGCACTCTGATGGAAAGATTTTAACTGAACCTCTATCTAATGCTTATGGTTTTTTCTATGGCACCATACTCCTTCCCTGGCTGACAGGTATTGTCAGTGGCCGCTGCCATCACATGGGCTGCAGCAGGGAGGCACCTGTGTCAGGGAGGCACCGCGGGAGCTGCACACTGCATGGATCTGGTGCTCCCCGGGTGCCACTGCAGCTGCCCAAATCTCAGCTGCAGACCCAGGCCTCCGGCTCCACACAGCAGGCAGGAACCTGCCCTCCTGGGCAGGGCTGCAGCTGCCCAAACTGCAACTGTGGATCCAAGCCTTCCTGTGCTCTTAGGAGGGGCTGGGAGTAGGCAAGATCTGCCCGCCTGGGTGCAGCTGCAGCCACCCGACTGGTGGCTGCAGAACTGGGCCTCCTGCTCCACAAAGCAGGCAGGAGCTGGGGACAAGTGGGAGCACCGCCCCTTCCAAGTTGGCGGGGCAGGAGCTCCCTGGGTGCAGCTGCAGCGGCCCTCCCAGGTGCAGGACCTGGGCATCTCTGCAGCCTGCATTCTCGGGCGGGGAATGCTCCCCAACCCTGCAGGCTCAGGGGTGTCTGCTCCTGCTGCCTGGTCTCTCTCCTCTGCCGGCATCTGCTCCAATCTGGGAGCTGAGTTAGCGCCGCACCCGGTGGGGGGCCATGAATGGCAGCAGGAGTCAGATTCCTGGGCAGAAGGGCGTGGGTCCCCAGTAAGGCCCCTCCTTCAGGCCAGGGAGGGCCTGAAGCCTGGGAGCCAGCTGCCAGTTCCGAGGACCAGAGTGGGGACTTGTGGTACCCCCTCCCTGCTGCCCATGGCCATCCATGCGGCAATCAGCATGCACTTCACCCCCTCTGAGGCCCACAAAAGCCCCGGGTCCAGCCAGAGCAGGAGAGAGGACAGAGGAAGGGATGCCCAGCTGCAGAGAGGAGCTACCCTCTCTGCTGATAACTGAAGATAATGGGACAAACAGCAGCAGAGAGGAGCAACCTTCTCCAGGGCCTCCTCTCTGCTGAGAGTTGAACACTGCAGACCATCTGCCTACAGAGAGAAGCTACTCACTGCCGGTCTCCTGTGAACTGTTGTAACACTCAATA